ATTGGGAGGCGTCCCTGTAGTCCACCTGTGAACCATGAGGGGTTGCTGAGCTTAACAAAGTCTACAGGGCTTGGAGTGAGAATGGTTTGCCCACAAAATTGTATGCTGTCATAACCATTGCCATAAGAACAGTTTCCTTGCTCATGGATTATATCTGAATATGGGGCAGTATGGTGTCTCCTTGTGTTTTAACTATTGCAGTATGCACTACCTCTCTATGCTTGTAATAGCAATAGCATTTAGACTTATATACCCGCTTTACAGTGCTTTACAGCCCTCTCTAAGCGGTTTACAGAGTCAGCATATTTCCCCCAGCAATTTGGATCCTCATTTTACCCAACTTGGAAGGATGGAAGGATGGGTCAACCTTGAGCCTGGTGAGATTTGAACTGCCAAGTTGCAGGCAACCGGCAGGCAGCAGAAGTAGCCTGCAGTACTGCACTCTAACCACTGCACCACTGTGGCTTTGGAAGGTTCACTTGTGCATTCAAGACACTCAGTCCTTTATCACTGGAGGGTGACTAGATCTTAATAAAAGCAGACAGTCAGTAGGCACTTTTATTATAACAGCACATCTGGCAAATGACAGCTAGCACCACCAGAGAGAAAATAGCATTAAATACAAATGATTCAGTGTAAGGAACATCTTTTAACTTGAAAAACAAAACAGATGCAGAGAGGCTGTCTGATATTAGTCTGAGCTATCATTAAACACTGGATACTGTGCTGATATTTGGCTCCATTTATTTAATTAAAATTTCTAACTTTTAATTAAGATTAAAATATTATATTTTACTCAAATGCTAGATAGTTAACTGCAAACCAGTATTGGGGAAACTGACAAAACAGAATATCCTCTTCTCTAAAGCTAGTCTATTGAGAACTTCAGAAAGATGAAACTTGGGTTAGTTAAGAGCTATAGGGATGCATTGGTTAGAATGTACTATTGCAAGCTAACTCTGCCCACTGTAGGAGTTCAATCCTGATTGGCTCAAGGTTGACTCAGTCTTCCATCCTTCCGAGGTGGGTAAAATGAGGACCCAGA